CCTAAACGTTGCCTCAAGCACCAAAAGCACCTGATCTCGAAGTCAAGGGAAATGGCAGACTTAAAATATTTCTACCTGCTTTTCTTCTACAAAGCACTCAAAGTTGCTAACAAAATAATAAAAACTAGATTTAAAGATGCAATATTAATTCTACACAAATCTAAACATAGGCCAGAAAAGTGATAATGATTATTTAAAAAATGGAATTAACACTGGGGTGTTAATTATGCAGTATTAATTCTACACAAATCTAAACATAGGCCAGAAAAGTGATAATGATTATTTAAAAAATGGAATTAACACTGGGGTGTTAATTATGCAGTATTAATTCTACACAAATCTAAACATAGGCCAGAAAAGTGATAATGATTATTTAAAAAATGGAATTAACACTGGGGTGTTAATTATTTCCTCCATAAAAAAAAACATGGCTAATTTTTCTAGTTGCTAAAGAGACAAATTCAAAACTTCTTGACATTCTCTTTTTTCCTTTGTTTTGGGAGCAAGGATGGATTTCCAAACTTTTGATACTCCATCAGTAGCTGGAAGTAGGGCAGTCTAATACTTTGACTCCTTTCACCAACCTGCAGAAAAAGGCCATCTTCTTTGGTGAAGTCTATGCTGAGATTTGCCTATGCAAAATGATCCAAGACACTCAAAAAATTTCCAAAGAAATTCTGAAGGCATGGATCCCAAGTAAGAACTGATTGCACTAGAGATGCACAAAAATCAATGTGCTAGGGTAAAAAAGATCCAGAAAAAGGACTGTATTATTTTGATATAGCATACATTTGTGTTTATGCATGTGTTCACATAGAGTTTGGAGACCTTTACAGATAAGAAGATTTACTGTGAATAAATATCACAGCAGGTCTGTTAGATTTTAAGATGCCAAAAGGCTGTTTTGTGTCTTTGGGTACATAATTCTAGGAACACAACAGCTGTACTTAAAAATAAGTTCCTTTCCCCTTATTCCCCATTAGGCAAAGGCCCAATTCATAAAGCTGAAACATGGTTTTACAGTATGAAGACAAGCTACAGTGAAACTTGGATTTGTGTGCTCCCCTTTCTTCTACTAGTACAACTGAAATGAAGAATCTGAAAGCTACTTCTTGATTAACCACAGCATGGCATCTCATCTCTAAACTATTGTTTTTAGCAAAAACAAGCCATTTCTATAAACTGGAGAGCCAGTAGAATTGTAGTAGTTAAAAGTGTTGGATTAAAATCTGGGAGACCCAGGTTCAAATTCACCCTCAGCCACTTTAACTTGATGGATGACGTTGGGCCAATCATTCCCTTTTAGTCTAACCTATATCTTATTGTTATTGTTACGTGGAAAAAATGGAGGAAACACCACGTGTACCTCCTTGAACTCCTGGAGAAAAGGTGGTATATATATCTAGCACAATCCATGAAAACATGAATAAGAAGATAGCTGTGGCTACCAACCCTTCCTTTCCCATTGCTGTGGCAGAATAGATAGTGGCATGCAATGTACTACACCATCAATGATGTAAATATCTGCTTCCTGTTCCCAGGAATTCCTCCTCTTCCATGTGTGTATCAAGATCTGCAAGATGCCAGGCACAGATTCATGATCACTACACCACCCTTTTAACATGTATGGCAACCATCGCAAGCAAAAGGGACAAGCTATGATTGCAGTGCCACACCCACCATCTCCCGTGAACACCCATGTCTTCCACCATCCTTAACCACTCTCTTAAGTACTTTCCATCCCACCTATCATAAATGATAGGATATGGCTATTTAATTTATAAACTATGGTTTAAACTTGATTTGTTTCCATTCAGCATAGCTGTGGTTAGGCACAGGTTGTCCAGCTGGTATGATCTCAAAAGCTGTGAAGTTGTTGTCAGCTTCAGTGCTCTAATGTTGAGTTCATGTGTCCAAGAAGTTGCTCCCCAGCAATTTCTTAGTCCTATGAAAATGGCACCTTTGATCAACAGATCTATCAATACTGAAGGAATGGGGATGAGGGAATGATGAATTTGGTTAAGATTTTATGCAAGATGCTTCAGACTATAAAGTAGATCTTCTGCAGCAAAGGACTAACCATATGGGAAACATGGAGTAAATGGTAGCTTCTTTATGCATAAAAAACAGCTGTGGTACCCTGATTCAGAGTGGATTCTGATCCTGGTCATTAGTGGCCCCATTTGGACTCAAATTCTGTAAGAACTCACTTCAAGTGATTTTATTACCTTCTTTTCTATCCATCTCCCCAGAACAATACAGTTGTCCATTTAAGTGGATTTTAAACTGGTAACTAGTTTTCTGTTGACAATGCGCTAGTATTAACATTCTCTTCCTGCTTTTGACTGTCCAGAGGGGTCAGTCAATGTTTGCTCAGAGGTTTTGGACAATCCCCATCATTCCTGACCACTGGCTTTGGTGGCATGGACTGGTGGGAACTGTAATCAAAACCAACTGGAACAGACCTTGTTTGCTTATTTCAAAAATAAAAGCCTTTCCTGTAAAAAAAAAAATTAAAAAATCAGCTGTTATGAGAACTGCTTTTTGGAAAAAGCCAAGGCCCATCTAAGTCCAGCATTTTGCTCTGCAAAGTGGCCAACTAGAAGTCTTTGGAGTGCTCAGAAGCAGAAGATGGAGTTATATGTACCTTTCACCTGCTATGGTAACCACTGGCCTTAGGAGATGCCAGCCTAGAGGTGACCCTTGATAGCCCCATCCTCCCTGAATTGAGTCAATCCCATTTTAAATCATCCAAATAAACTTGTAGTTATGAATTCCACAGCTCAGTTATTTGCTGAACAAGATGCCCTCCCAGCCTTCCAAGGACAAGCAAATGCTTCTCAACAACAGATGCCTATTTAGGGAAAACAAGACCAAATTTTCTTTTTTCAGATTTGTACGGTCCATGCCATTCACTAGCAATGCTGACAAAATTAACAATATTACAGTTTTTCCCTAGTTATCAATTCAGTACTTCCCCTAATTTCCCAGCATGCAGATCAGGGAGTGGGTTACCTGTGAGACAGATTTAATGAACTACAGCTCCCAGCATTTATCATCATTTGCCATACTGACAGGTTATCTATGGGGTGAGGTGGGATGTCAAGATGGCAGCCACAACCATATGATCAAAGCCCAACCACTTTTTAGCACATATAAGGGGGAAGGGCTTCAGTTGCGGTCACCTTCTTGACTTTTTTGATCCTCCCTCTCACAACAGACACTCCCATACTGACTTGGGCGGCCGGAAGTTATAAATCAGCAACATCTGAAGTGCTACAGGTTGCCCACCCCGATGTAGGCTTCTCTTAGAAAAAATGTTCTGCTCCTTGGTGTCTACTGTGGGTGGGGGTGGTGCAGGACTATCAGTGCCACATGTACCTTTAGGGCTAAAATAAGAAGGTAGCTGAACATTCTGATTGCATCTGAATGTTCCATATCTATATCCAAGCTTCTATCCAGAGGATTTAAAGGATTCACATGCTCCCTTCCTAGACTTACAGTTTTAGACTTTACAGTTTAAGGAGATAGAAGGAACATTAAATATAGAAGGAACATCAAATATTGACATTTATTTATTTTTATTTATTTACTGGGTCTTAAATGCTGTTCCTATCCAGCAAGACTCTGAGCAGCTTCCACTCCCTTCTTACAATAAAAGGGTTAAAATATAAAACCGGTTTCATATAATGACAAAACTATAATAAGAAATAAGAGAAAATTAGTGAAAAATAAACGAAGGGCTCTGAGAACAAAAATATCATACCCAACCCCGGGCAAAGGTTTAAATTTATAATAGATCTCCCAGCAGGGCTTTTTTAAAAATCCAGGTTTTAATGGCTCTCTGAAATCCTAATATGAGGGTTGAATGAAAATGAAACAAGAAAATAATATTTTAAATGGGTTCTTTTGTTACCTGTATTCACTTCTCTACCTAATCACCACTATTCACTATACCCTTAATGCACACTGTTGAGTACTCACTGAAAGCTTCTATTTCATGACCAGTATCAACACAACCTTTTCCCACAAAACTTCCCACCAACTAAAGTGAAAGAACAGATGCTAAAGAACATGTCAGAACTTCTAGTGCCTTCAATACTGCTATCTGTTGGTGACTTGTAACATTGGAGGCATTTCTTTCATCCAACCCTTGTCCGGGTGGCAGGGGGTAATCAATCACATTGCTCTTTTGAGGTTATATTCAATGAACTTCATTTACTGAAAGCCTGACAGTCATAGAATCTATAAAAATTGGAAGAGTGTCCAAGATGGAAAGAAAATATCAGGATGGCCAGCGAGGACAGAAAGGAACTCATCCTGAACCTCACAAAGTCATTGCCTCTCAATCTGTTGAGAAGAGAAAGTCCAGCTGATGATACTGCAACTTCATTGCTATTCTCCATAACAGTTCTGGGCCATAGCAGCTGCTCAGCCTCTGGCACCAGGCATAATTGGGTCCTTTGCATGGCACATTTTTTACTACACTGCATGACGCTTCAGCGGTTCGAGTCCAGCCTTCGCGTTAAACAGGGTGAGCTCCTGTTTCCTCCCCAGTTCCT